GACCCGACCGGGAATCGAACCCGCCGCCTCCGGCTTGGTAATACCGTGCTTTTACTGACTAGGCTATGAGGCCCCTGTTGAGAGTGGAAAGCGTGGTTGGGAGGTTGAGAGTGCAAAGCGTGAAAATCTGTACATTTTTTTCCAAAAAAATATTGTATAAGTCGGTAGTTTAATAAGATCTCAGTTATTACAGATAAATCTGTAAATATTTTATCATCATGTTTATGAGTAGCAATACGTCAATATTTTAACATACGATGCTATATTGCTGGCTACGGTCAAATGACAGCGAAAGATGAATTACCCACAGATACAGCAAAAAACCACCAGTTCAAGTCCCACAACCGGTGTTAATACCAGCTATGGCGGATGGGATTTAAATCGAGTAGTGACATAGCTGGTACCATTGCGTATATGGGATAGTACGATAACTTGTATATCTAACCTCGCCAAGGGTAGGACCCATTCAAAAATTATATAACGCAATAAGGGTGGAACGTCATGTATTAGCTATCGGAAAAATGCATGCCGAGTGGGCTGCGTGCAACGCTACATTTGCGAAAGAATATCTGAAGTGATGCCAGCCAAAACTTTGCATAGATGATCACTCCGTTGTCCGTTCAACAAGTATGAACAGTGATCTTCCATACCCGAGCAGGAGAAAATAACCAATGAATACCTAATTCTCATCTGATAGCAAAATTTTTGTGTTGATCAGCATGACATAAGATGTAAAATACCAAAGAATAATACCAAAAAATTGCACGCAAAATACTTTGTAAATATCTAAAATACCTGCGTGGTATTGTTTTGGCATTGCATTTGCAAAATTTGGTATTGGAATGATATTGTGGGAACATTTTTTGGTATTATTTTTTGGTATTTTACCTCTTATGTCATGCTCATCCATACTAATTTAAGGTATCGAGATATTCGTTCCTGCTCGGGTATAGACGAGAATATTACTGGTGATGCAAACATCTATGTCTGTAAACTTGTTAACATTGCTAACATAGGGGAAATGGATGCAATGTCGGCCTTAATGCCCCTAATTTGGGCCCATACATAAATTCAGCAATCGACTAAATTTTCAATAGCGACCAAAAATATCCATTAGCACCGTCCCAATGACGCGTTCATCTAGATAAAATTGATAAATAGCAGATGTTTAGCGATGGGCCCAATCTTAGATCCATAGGCCAACATTAGAGCCATTAGGTTGCATAAAATATATGTAATGTTTCATTATATGTATAATAGCCTTACATGATCTATAATGCAATATTGTATGATAAATAACGCGTTAATTTATGTGCATCATATTGAATAAAAATGTTAACAAATTACGGTTTGAGACCATTGCTTACAAAAGTACTTACGACCTTTTGACATTTCATCGGAGAATTGTTACCGATTGCGACTTAGGCCCGTATAAATTACCAATGTCTGTATGTTATGATACACAGTGTTGCTCACAAATGAGATTTTTTCATTTGTACACACTTAGAAAAAAATCATGTAAATTTAGGTGCTCTAAGACTGACATATACGGGCGTCAATTTTGACATAAAATTGAGTCATAAAAGACGCGTAATTCAACTCAATCAAACATACTTTTTGTCGAGTAACGAGCTTTTCAGTCTCGGAGCACTTATTTCTACATGAAATATTGGTTTACGTCTGATCGTTTATGTCAAAGATGGATTCCGTCACGTGTGAAATTATTTATTTATAAGTGTGTACTTGTGGGTAACATATACTCATTTTTTGTGATGCACCGAATAGTGCTATTCGAGCTGGTATTCGACGTTTACACCAAAATGTTATGTGGTATTCGGCCTTGTCTCAGCTAACAAGTGACCGACTAGGTGTCTGAGGAAAATTCCAAGCGTGCAGTACTTGTATATTTGGCCTAAGTATTGGGACGAATACTATGGTGGCCGAAAATTCGGTGCATCACTACTTATTTGTGGGTTGAAAATTGACCAACATGAATTTTCAACCTTAAAAATGGGTAATTAGTTTTTAGTATGCACTTTACTACCCCTATTAGAAAGTTTTTCTCATCTGTTTTTTGAAAACATTAGAAAGAGACAAGTAGACAAACCTCTCAAAATTAAGTAATACTGAGCTTGCCGCTAGGCTCTTTTTCGTACCTTGTATGACTAGGCGGTTAATTAAATAGAACCCATTTATCAAGATGACCTTGCTACCTAAAAAATGGACACCCCCCTCGATTTAAACGTGTTAAGATAATCAAAAAAAGTCTCACGGGTCATTAGAATTCAGAGCCCTTTCATTGCTAAATTTTTATGTAATTCTTGTGATTATGTGGCCAGTTTGAAAAATATATAACCATTATTTCATACATACCATTACATAAATACATCTACATCATACATCAGATCTACATCAAGATAAATTTAACTTATCTTGTGCAGTTTTAGTAAACAAGGGTTGATGTCCCTAATGGCAGTTTAAGCGTCTCTTATATTGAACCCATACATTGGTAAAGTATTGTTTGACAATTTTTCACAAAAATATCCATTCATATTGTCTAGATTACACATTGTTCTGTGAAAAATTTAATAACCAATGGGCCCAATCTTAGATCCATAGTCCAATATTTGAGACATTTCATTAGCTCAAAAGCTAAAATTCAAAAACAAGAATGGGTCAAAATTTCAAACTAAAACGTGGCTATGACGGCTTTAGTCTTCAAAAGTGAAGTGTGTTTTTTAAAATTGTGCTGAAAATCTCAAAGTTGATTTTCGAATGATTTTTGAATCGGACTTTTTTTTTAAGAAACCCGTAATATCTCGTGATCGTTAAGAGATATCCATTGGATATGTTGATAACTAATGTTCATAACAACATTTTTTAAAGTAATTCAACGAATTTGAAATAGAAAAGTTGGAGCAGAACAAAAAATATTTTTAGGTACACCCTAATTCAATTCAGAATCAATGCTCAAAAATGAGAACGTTAAGAGATACAAGAAATCTCGCGTAACTTTTCAATAGGCTTTTCTTCATTGATCGATACTCTCTATACACTTTTTCTTTGAATGACCACGGTCATGCCACCATTATAAATCGTTTTTATCGCCAGTGAAAATCTACTGTATCTGTTACAGTTCTGTAAATTCACCCAGTCAAAAGGTGGACAGTACAAGTTTCACCCTGTACTGCAAAAACCCGCCTTTAAAAAAAAGTGCCAATAATGGTTGGAAAGATACACTATTAATCAACCATTTACATGAAGATTTGGAATGAATCGGTAGCAAAATCATTCAATGTTAAACACAGATTTTCTGCAGATTTCGGAAAATAAAATATTTCATTAAAAAAATACTCAAAGTTTCAAAACGAAAACTCCAACGTAATGACATTTATACTTAACAGATTTTTTTTCAAATTATGGCCGTAATTTGCTCATAAGTTCTCGTTTCAGCTGGCCAAGTTTGGTTAAATAGATGCAACAGTTCGGGAGAAAATTATTCGAAAAAAAAATCACAAATACCGCTCTAGACAAGATAAATCGATCTAGATAAAAAAAAATCAATAATTTCAGCATATTGCCTTAAAGCATGCAGAATAGAAAACAAAATTGAGCAGTAGATGGTTAACTCATAGTCGAAATCAAAATTTTCCATTCCCTACCTTACAACATTCACATTTTAACAAAAGCAATTTAAAAAAAATTCAAATTAAATTTTAAAAAATGGACCAGGTTTTACTTATGGCCACATCATAAATTTGGTTAAAATAACTTAAAATATGTGAATGTGACGAGGAGAACACTTGGTTATGATCACAAAGTACATCGTATGTAAGGCTAAAGATCGCGTGTAACCCTCATATTTTCACATAAAACTGTGTCCAAACTTTTGTATGCCTATGATCATTTAAAAAACCATGTTTTTGCTTCTATTTATGACACTTAACTTTACATCACTATTTAAATAAAAAAAAAATGTTAATGACACTTTACTCCAGTAGTCATCCTAGTCATAATTTTTCGTATATTCAAGATATTTCCATTAATAAACACGTAACAATGTTGGCCCAATGTCATCCCCTAGATACAATGTCACCCCGTGCTACGGTATATTAAAATACGTAAAGCACAATGTTGAGTTTCCCTTGTTTAAAAGCTTCAAATCTAAGCAAGTGTAATGTAGTTTAATAAGGCTGATTAGTTTTTACCCAAAGCCCTTTGAACATCTTATGAGCGAATCTCCTCAGATACAAGTTTTGTTTTAACATCTGCAGAGCAAAAGAATCTTCAAAAATTGTATAATCTCATTTCATTTCCCTTGTATCAACAGCCACGAATTTGTTTCACTGTATGTGTTTATAGTTTTATATGCTTCATATAATTTAATAACATTGCGGCTCTACACTCATGCGATCACGTCTACCCTCAACTAAATTTTCTTTAAGCACAGAGTATAACTCAAGCTTAAATCGAAACTCCTATCACAGATTCGACCCTGATGATTTTGTAATGAGTGTCAATATACCATAAATTTTCATTGTTATGATTGAAACAAGCCTTATCGTAGCAATGATCAATTTAATCCTGCAGATGATATCAAACTCTTTTGCTTCAAAAAGATAGCTACCCAACTGTACATTATCAGTTGTTAAAGATATTCAAACGTAAAAATTTATGTAAGTTTCTGAATGGTAGATTGGGATTTACGCATAATTTACATGAAAGAGATTGAAAGATGTTCTTCAAGACCAAATCCAATAATTGCTTGGAATGGCTGCTAAGAAATACTCTATGAAAAATATCCCTCCCTTATACTAATTTGACCATCATACTTGATTTATCTGGAATTTCAGACTCAAACCTGACAAAAGATCAAACAATTAGAACAAGCTTTGAAACAATTGAAACAATTTCTGTTATCGACTTTTGTCGAATTTACACTCTAGTTACAATGCATAACATACGTATGACCCCACAACCCCTCCAAACCCCATACTTACGTGCTTCTCGACGTAGTAGGGCTGCGGATACGGGACCTTGACTGGGTATGGGACGGGCCTTTCAACCGGAACGGGATAGGGACGGTCAACGGGGACCTTCACCTCGACTGGGTAGGGCTTTTCGACGGTGTATGGAACGGGCTTCTCCACCGGGACTGGGTATGGGGCAGGGACATGGACTGGGTAGGGACGGTCAACCGGAACCTTAACTTCAACTGGAACCTTCCTTTCGACGGTGTACGGCACTGGCACTGGAACCTCGACCTTAACGGGCACTTGGACATGCTTGGTCACTTCGTACGGCTGTGGGACTGGCACCTTCACCGGGTATGGAATGTGCTTCTCGACGGTGTAGGGCTGAGGTACCAGCACCTTGACGGGGTATGGACGATCTACTGGAACATGCACTGGGTACGGAACCTTCTTCTCGACTGGGTACGGAGCTGGCACATGGACGGGGACCTTAACGTATTCCTTATAATGCACAGGAACGTGCTTCACAACCTCGTATGGCTGCGGGATTGGGACTTTCACTGGGTATGGCACATGCTTCTCAACGGTGTAAGGCACATGTTTCTCCACAGTGTATGGCACTGGCACTCCCTTCAGCAGGGTAATGGTTTTGGTTACATCGGTATGTCCTCCCAGCAAGAAACCCTGTCCATGTCCACCGTATCCATGGATGGCATTTCCATGACCGTATCCATGGACGGCATTTCCATGACCGTATCCATGGACGGCATGTCCATGACCGTATCCTTGGACGGGAGCCGAATGGTAGGCTCCTCCCAAATGGCCATGTCCACCAATGTACCCAACGTCAAGACCGTTGATTCCGTACCCGTAGCCCAGATTCAGCAAACCACGTTTGTCCAACTTTTTCTCCAATGGCACTGCATTGGCATCAGATTTCTTTTGATCTGATTCAGCGTTAGCTGAAACCAACAAAAGCGCTGACAGGCATATCTGCAGGAAACGAAAAAAACACATCATCAGTTAACACCACTTCCAAACACATTGCACACGATAAAGTCCATTTTCAGCCACCAACTATTAGCACACGACCATTTTCGAACAAAGTCCTTTTTTGGTCACCATCACTCGTCTTCTAGAACCAAACACATCAGAAGCAAAAAAAAATAAAATTCTACTCACAAACAACTTCATTGCGATTCCACTTATAATTGTTCGCATCGATCCCAGACAATGAACTGGATGCTGATTTGTACTAACTTGCCGCTTTTATACTACATAAAACTACAAAATTCACTTTCGTTCCATTCTGGGGTGGCTGGCTGCATCTGTTCCACCAAGTCCAAAACCACGCGTGCCCACTCTGCGGAGGTTCCTCTCTTCTCTCCCGCGCAAGTCTCTTTTTTTTTCTCTTTCAAGATCCGACCAAGTCTTTTGCCGGGCCGGTGTTGAACGCAACTTTGAACGGCGAGCACGAGAGACCACTACCGCTTCAACCCCTATTTCCGTAGTAGACATCTGTTTGCTCTCCAACGTAAAGCACGAGAGCAAGAGAGGGAGAGAGGGCTCACGACGACGCGACTCACCCTCCACTGCGGTGAGGTTGGAAAATTCGCGACAAAATTTTCCTCTCCCCCAAGGCGACGCAGAGAGATGGAACACCGCGCTTATTGAGCCGCGGTTGTGACGGCGGCTGCAGTTTCAGTTTATTATCGATCTCACGGCACAGCGGCGGCGGCTGCTGCTGCTGCTGCACCTACTTCATGACACTTCTTCAGAGCGCACAGCTACTTACCTACATACGGTTGCAACAACATGAGCTTGCTTTGGGTCGCCAGAGTGGTTCGAAGGGGGTGGTGTTTGTGAGAAAAAGATCAACATACTAAGAGGCCCATTGAATGCAGCAGCAACAGCAGCGGCGGCGGCGGCATTTTGGCTTGTGATTCACTTTTGTTTGCGGTGTTAAACCGAAAATCGGTCTGTGTTATACTATTATGCAGTGGTTCTGTGCTTTGTTTATTATATTTTCTGTTCGTTTGTTTGCTTGGCGTGCGATATATTCATGTGCATATTTTGCAACCCCGTGCTTTTGTGGTGAACCCATTTGGAACCTTGATCTCGTTCTGACGGTGCTCTCGGGTGTTGTTGGGAGGCATTTTATTGTCTGTTAGTGCTGTTGAACTTTGTTGTAGAGGCAAATTGCTGAGCATTTCCTCGACTGAGTGGCAGGCCGGTTGTAATCGATTTGTGTATTATTGTATTCAGAACTAAAGGAAATTACTTTTTTTTCCTTTGGCTTGTTTTCCGTCGATCTTGTTTTCCGTGCTACTGACGCCAGGGAGGCAGCTCCCACATCTGGACCCTACCTATCGACCTATAAACTCATGAACCGGGGACCAACGGCTTTACTATGATGCAACAAATTAAACGGTTAAGATTGAAAATTACTAAGGATGACAAGCTGTCTATTTTTTTGTGATTTACGTTTATTGAAAGCAGCTTCGATTCGTGTTTGAAACGATATAGCTGGGGTATGAGTAATTTCCATTGTTGAATCTTCATACAGCGTTATTGTGAATGCAAACTGGTACCTCAATTTGATATTGCTATTAAGTGGAGCTGCATACAAGACGTGATCTTCAATGCAGTGATGGATCGCTCTTTTGGGACTTTTTCAATAATTTTTGCCATCAGAACACTAACGTAAAATCCAGTTAAATTTTCAGTTAACCCATCGTAAAATAGATAGTTATAGCTGTTAATCTTCCTATCAAAATGCAAAATTTTCGCACCACACTAAAGGTTCACTCGAGAGCGCTTTCAAGTGCACCTTCAGTGAAAACACAGAGTGTGGCTCTGTGGTGAGGAAATTTTTAATTTTTATAAGGAGATTAATAACACTAAGCTATCTTCAAATAGATGAATGTGAAGGGTTAACTGAAAATTAAATTGGATTTATATAAAAACGTAAAGAAAAAGATGCAGGTGACGTCATAGCATAACGATTGAACTTCTCTTTGAATTTCCCTGGATCATGTCCGAGATTATCTTGATTTGAAGTTTACTAAATTTACTCAGAAAGTTTTTTAAACTTGCAGCTTGGGCGCTAATTTGAAGGTTATCTGGATTTGCTCTGGAGGTCGTATGAATTTGAAATTAAAGCTATTGTGAGTCTTTTCAATGTTTTCGTAATAATGTCTAAAAATTACAATCAACACTCACTTTTATATGCAAGGGTCTTATATGGTGTTGCCTAAGGATCCAACGAAATTGCTCCCAGAATTTATCAGTCTTCCAATGAGCTTATAAGTGCATTAAGATCTCTGATAGAAATTTCCTCGATTTATCCTTTGGAGCTGGCATTCACACTACGAAAAAGTCGTGTAAATTTGGGTTCCTTGAGACCGACACATGTAAGCGGCCCTTTTGACATACGAATCAGTTGAAAGAAATGAGAAAATCAGTTCAATCAAACGTTCTCTTCGTCTCGTTACTTACACACTTAAAAATAACTATATTTACACGAGACGTAAGCCATCTTTGACGTAAATTATGGAACGTAAACAAACATGTCATGTAAAATTAAGCGTTCTCAAACCAAAACATACGCAACTCGACGAAAAGAACGATTGATTGAATTTATTTTCTCGTTTCTTTCAACTGATTCTTAAACACTTAGAAATTCCCAATTTTACACGTGACGGAATCTATCTTTGACATAAAGCAAGAGACGTAAACAAACATGTCATATAAAATTAAGTGCTCCGAGACTGAAAAGTTCAAAATTACGTTTGATTGAGCTGAATTTCGCGTCTATTATGACTCAATTTTATGTCAAAATTGACGCTCGTATATGTCAGTCTCAGAGCACCTAAATTTACATGAATTTTTCTAAGTGTGTATGTCATTTGGGACGCTTGCATGTGTCGGTCTCGGTGCACGGAAATTTACATGACTTTTTGGTAGTGTGTATCTTTCGATTTGAGAACACTTAATTTTACATGAAATGTTTGTTTACGTTCCATGATTTACGTCCAATATGGATTACGTCTCGTGTAAAAGTAGTTATTTCTAAGTGTGTTCGAGATTCTTATTTTTAATTTGTCCTCGATTTTCCCTAGGTTAGCTGGACTTTTAAATAAATGACATGCATCCTGGTAGCTTATTATTATTTTGACACCGAAGTTCTATGGATAACTCACAATTCAATATGCACAGTTAAAATTATTTTGTAATTTTACACGAATTTCCATCCACATAAAAAGAGCATGCATATTCATGTAAAATTAAATAGGTTTTTTAATTTACACGACTTGAAATTTACATGCATGTAAAATTAAACGTCACTTAAATTTCACATAAATGGCTTGAGATGGGCTCGCTTTGTAATTCTACAGGACATTTAGAATTACACGCATTTGGCTTTTTGAACGAATTTGCATAAAATAGAACTGATTGTCAAGTACGCGGAATTATCACCCACGTGGAATAACCCACCTTCACGGCACAGTACATACCCTACACTTCCACCGCTGCATCAAAACAATCAGTCAGGGGAAAAAAGGAACCACGAGCGCATTTTTGAATGTTTTTCTATTTTTCCATATCCATTTTTCTGATTTTCTGCACGAACTAAAAGTGCTCTCTTTATACAACCGCCTTAATCAATATTTTGTCTGTCATCCATTTTCTATTTGTGAACGCGCGTATGCACGATAAAACCGTTCCACATAACCAAAACTTACCGCACAAAACAAAACAAACCGAGTGGAGAAAAAACTGATCGAATAATCGTCCATCCGCCATATTAGCTTTCTCAATGTTTGTTGATTTAAATTTACACGAGCATGTAAATTTTTAGGTTTTATCGTTGAAAATCCGATGTTCTTCGATAAGTTTTTACATCACGTGGTGATATTAATTTTATGAGTTTTATCATGCTTTTATTATGTGCATGATTTTAAATTTAAAATTGTATTAAAACATAGTTTAAAGCAATGTAGTTTTAAAATGGTTTTGGTTTACATGTCATGTTGTATTCCTTATTTTTTGCTGTGTGAATATCATATTAGCATCGCCTTGCTAGTGAATTCTGAACTAAACTTTTCAGCATAAAATATGTCTTGTCCATCTGAACAACTTTGCTGAAGTCGGGAACCTTCTATCTAGTACATACGTTTGGTTAGGGCAAACAATTCAATATGAATGTCACATTAAAGGGTGTCCACAGTTAAATTGAATCACTTTCAAAAAGCTGTAACATTTTGCCCTTTGGGTTAACGTTAATGAAATTTTACATTAGATGGCTTCAGTGTGTATTGTTTACACTGTGTGAGTTTGATTTTGAAATTTCTAGTAGTCGAAGGAACAGCGCACGCGCTGGAAAATATTGCACACTCACCTCAACAACCCACATCTTTCGCACCGAGCCATCGGAAAAGTTTCATGCAGAAAGCCAAGAAACGAGCAGTACTATGTTCATTCAAGGTTCAGAAATCACCAAACCGTAATGATAGACAGAATAGGACAGCTAGAACGTAAACTGTTCACACAAATGTTGACAAAACTACACTGCTGTATCATGGACGATGAAACATACACACTTAGATTATTTCACCGAAATCTGTGACATTTGACCGAAATCTCAACAGTTGAACGTTCGAATATCTGTGAAAAATTACAGGAAATCTGTGAAAAATCACCGAACTGTTTACCGAACGTTCAGCGGTTGAGATTTCGGTAAAATAATCTAAGTCTGTACGTTAAAGTGGACTTCAAACAAATTCCGGGAAACCAGTATGTGACTGCGAAAGACAAAGTCGATGTTTCAGAGTCCCTCAGGAAACAGAAAGTGTCGAAGTTCCTCAAGAAAAACATGATTTGGCAGGCGATTTGTTCGTGCGGAAAACCGAGCAAGTCTTTCGTAACAACTAAAACCGTAACTGGCCAAGTCTACATGAATGAGTACCTGAAGAAACGACTGCTTCCGTTTCTCAAATCACACAACGTTCCTACAATTTTTCTAGCCTCTTGTCACTACTCTAAGGACGTTCTGGAATGGTACAAGACGAATGGGGTCAATTTCATGCCGAAGGATCTCAATCCCCCAAACACACCGGAGTTGCAGCTGATCAAAAGATACTGGGCTATAATGTAGCACAATCTCCGTAAGCATCCTAAAGCTGTCACTACGGAGAAAGAAACGTTGGAATCATGGTTGAAAGCACATTCTAAGATAGTATATATTTCGGCTTGAAATA